TCAGGCAGAAGAGAAGAATATGTTTGACTAAAGTTGACTGGATGGGAAGGGCTCTGAATTTAATTAGTATATAGAGGATGGGGAGGAAGGACTTCTCACATCACATGCATTCAAACCCAAAAGCAGGGGCAGAGAAAGAAGAGCAGAAAAACAGACTAAAGAGAAGCAGCAGAGAGAGAGAGAGAGAGAGAGAGAGAGAGAGAGAGAGAGAAGCAGAGCAGTTTGTGCCGTGCTCACAAATACCTGACAAACCCCCGCTATACGCCATGCACTCTTTTCTCTCTCTCGATTTCAACAAAAACTGATTTATCCATTCCTCTATCTCACAATCACATGCATGAAGACAGACTGCCTGACATTCGCACTCATTGCACCACATGCACATGCAGACACAACCAAACAAATAATTAAACACCTACAGCACCCCAGAAATCTTTAAAAGAAAAAACAAACTTAAAAACCCATCATGTATGGGAGAATTAGGAGCTTTAATGATGATGGCATTGATGATGCCATGATGACGAGATTAAAGCCCAAACCAAACCAAACCCATTTTGGTTTTTGGTTTTTGGTTTTTAATTCTTCAACTACAAATCATATCCAACGAAAGCAACCAACCAATTAGTGGGGGGAAGGGAAAGGGAAAGGGAAGGGAATTGGGAGCGCAAAACAAACCCACTTCCAATGGGAACAAGCACATTACAAAGCCATCATCATTTGGCCCCCCGCCTCTCCCCTTACTTAGTACGGTTAAATCAAATCCAATGGACTCTAGCTAATCTAATGCATTATGCATGACATGAAATCATATCCCTTTCTCTCTCTCCAAAGTCAGAATTGATCGAAGAGCATCCCATGCATTATTATTACGTATTCACCAAAACTTGTGCTTTCTTTTCATCTTTCTACACTCTTCAAATCAAAAGCCAAACCCAAAAGGGATGTTTTTCAGTTCAGATACATGTTTGCCCCTTTGTTTCGCATATTTCGGAACTCTCCATTAAACTCATTTTTGACATTTTGCTAGTGGTCCTGCTTCTTTGGGGAGCGAACGAGATTAGATGCCTTGGTAGTCCATGCCATAAACAATGAGTGTTTGCCCTTGGTCTACTCAGATTAGGGGCCCAATTAACGCGTGAAACACTCCGTCCACGTGATTATTACTAGTCACATATTCATGAGTCTGATAAGAATTTTTTTTTTCTATGGGAAAGACGACTAATTTTGCTTACTGAACAGAACACATGAGGTTTCGTGTAATTTCATGATTGAATTGAAAAGCAAATTATTTTCGTGCTAATAATTATAATTGTCCGATGTCTGATTTGTGTGTTTGTTTTCTTTTCTAGTGTTAATTATCTTCTGCACCCCATAGGCATAGCTAGCGGGTTGGCATGACTTGGTTAAATCTCCCTTGGTCCAGCCCAATTTGGCAAAACTATGGATATTATATATAACTCCTTATATAATTAAAAAGTCAACCACCTACTTAAGTAAACCAGACCCAAGTTAAGTAAAGTAATTAGGAGATCAAAAGGAAGGATTATAATTGGAATTGCAGCTAGCAGTAACAAAATACAAATTCAAGAGTTGTGTTTTTATGGTTTAAGATTGAATTTAACTCAAAATGTTTGTCTGAGCGCTATCCTTTATATTTTATGTATAATCAAATAAAAAAGAGAGAGCAGTCGGCGTGACGTAGGACCGTTGAGAGCACTAAGGCAATATCTTGCGGATGAATTTTGGGTAGAAAGATATCACTATCAATAGCCTTTCACCTTTGCTTGCTTTTCATGCTTTTATTCCAAGCTTAAGTCATTCCATGCCCATGCACTGTCACCAGCCAGGCATGCCATCTCACTCACTCACTCACTCTGCTACCTCTTCTTCTCCTTTTATATACATCCATACAAATTTAACCAAACCCATCATCATGTTCATCACACTACTTCCCTCCCATTTCTCTCTAACACTCTAATCTAAGCTCTATGTCATATGTGGCACCCCAAGTAACTTTTTCATTTTTCATTACAATGTATATGTAATAGGCATACAATCAGTTAGTGAGTTTGGGAATGCTTATATAGAAAGCACTTCTGTTTTTGTTCATAAGCACTTCTATTAGAAAAATGTCCAAAAATATCAAAGTGATTCCTCAGAAAGCATATCTATTAATAAACCGAATCAAGCCAAAACTAAGTATATTAGTAAATCGAATCGGCATGCATGATCGGCTGAGTTCACCGAACCGGGTCATATACTTGAACCTATGTTACCACAATTACAGTTCTTTGAAATGATCTATGTTTTATTTTGCATCCGTGGGTGGCGTCCAGGATTATGGGGGTAGAATAGTCTTCATTTAGATGTATATGCAAATTGCAATGGATGGGTATAGTCTATAGAATAGTGTGGTTGATCACCTATAGTACTATAGGAGTGCCCCATGAGCCGTCCATCCATCAATGATCAAATATATATATAGGGCGTTTAATTAAATTAAATTAAAATTGCATGTGTCCTGTATGGCATGGCATGGCATATATTTCTCCTCCACAGTTTCAGAGCTTATAGAATTCATTGATTGACGCGTCTTTGAAAGGTCCCTTCATTTCAAAAAAATTCAAATAAAGGTGTGTATGATGGGCTGGAAAAAAAAATTATGGTCAGCTTTTCAGGAAGAGAGGTAGCCAAGCCAAGCCAACAACCACCATCTGAATTGAAATGTCAGATTTTCAATTTTGAAGCTTTACTAATTAAAACTAAGCATCCTGCTGGTGCAGATAGAATTTCGACAGCAAATTAATAGTCAGATGCATGCTATTGGCATTCCCACTGGCATTGTCATTGCCATTGCCGTACAGGAGGCAGGAGGAGATGCAGGGAGGGTGGGAGGCACATGGGTTTTGGAAGGAATATAGATTGTTAAATTCGTAATTGGAAGCCCCACGTCGCTGTGTTTCGATTCTTGGGTTGTGGTTGTGGGGAAACACCATCATATATGCATGCCCAAGTCCCCCAAGTCCCCCAAGTCCCCTGTTGATTTGTTTATACTTAATTACCTCTCTTAATATAAAACTTAGCCCAATGTGCTCTGAGGATTAATATCTTAATCAGCCTTGTTCTTGTTTAGACACATGACAGGTAATGTCATTATGCCCTGCCACTTCTCTCCTTTTCTCAATTTCAGGCATTTAAATTTAATTAATTACTTGCTTAATTTAATCCTTAAAACCAAACCAAAAGTACTGCACCTTGTTTGACTAAAATAAACACAGCCCATATCATTTTTATTGGGATTACTCTTAAATACTTTGATGGTAGCTGCCAATAATAATGTGAGTTCATCATCGATTTTCAGATCAGAAAACAACTAGTCTTATATATGGATTATGATAGAGTACCAAATTGAAAAGCACAGAAGATATATATATATATATTCTACAGTACAGAACACAAGTGATGGCTTTAGCACATAAATCCACCACTGCTGTGCCTAAAAAGGGATCTTTTAGAGATATCTCAAAAGGAGGAGAGAGCCGTTATGTCATTTCATTCATTCATGCACAACATTTATACCCCTATATTCAATTAAAGATGTACAAACAAACATTAATAATCTAGCTTGTTACCCTTTTACCTTTCGATTGATAAAGTTACTTATACTTTACATGTAATTATTATTATTATTATTATTATTATCACCGCGGCCCGGTATAAAATGGAAGTTATCACCAATTAATTTTTAATCAATGAAAAGTAAAAATCACCCTTACTCAAATGAATTGTTACTTTCATAATAATCTCATGAATTTTTGGTAAAAGTTGCTATAATTAAGAACAAAGTATTTACCCATGTTTTTTTCTGGGTCTGAAGTATTTACCCATGTTTGTATACATATATATGTTGTACAAGAATCATGGTACCTAGCCTAATTATTTATTAGAAAACAGGTGGGACGTATATTTCTTCTTAGTTCTTAATAAAGTCAAGAATTTTTTTTTATTTTTTTATTTTATTATTTTATTATTAAAAAAACCACCAGTACTGTTCGACCTCTCCTTCAGCATATATAGAATAGAAGAACAAAAATACATATATAATATAACTGACTGATCACCATCTCTCTCTCTCTCTCTCTCTGTCTCTCTCTCTCTCTCCATCTATTTCATCTCCATCCACAAGCTTCCAAAGATATAGAATTAATGGAAAGTGAGATTTGCAAGGTTTATTCTCCCGATTTTTCTGGGAATATCATATCTCGACTAGGATGAAATGAAACTGCATCAAACAAAAACCCACCACATGATCATCATCATCATCAGCCGCTGCAAGACGTTCATGTTCATGGGTGTCTCTCTCTTTCTTAATTATACCACTACCCCAATTAGTACTAGCTCAAAACATTCCTCCCATGGCACCAGCAGCAGATCTCACTTCCCCATCTAAACCCCAGATCATTCAAGACTTAGTTTCTTTATCAACTCATGGCTCAAGCTGAGGCCTCCAATCAATATTATTTCTCCTTTGGGTTAGTGGGTTGCTCAAAATGACCATGGTTCCTGCTGCTCATCAAAACTTATCCAAACAACATCATCGATATCTTTACAGTGGTTATGGTGGATGCGGTGCCAATTACAACACGGCAGAAGATCAGAGCTTCGGTCTTATGAGTACTACTAGTCAAGTAGAAGAAGGTTATGAGTATAATTATTATTGTTGTAATAATAACAGCAGCAACAACAATAATATTAACAGTATCGTTACGGAATCTGATCATCTTCATCACCATCTTGTGGCGATTGATCCAATGGCTGAGGATGAGTCGAGAACCAACAGTGTAAACGAAGCCGGTTCAAGTTCAAAGGATGCTCCAGATGACAGAGACAACGAAGGATGGCTCCAATTGACTATAGGCGGCTCCAACAATCATCAACCAGCTGCAAACGTAGACCAAACCCCCAGAGGCTTAAGGGACACTCT